GGGGGGGGGGGGGGGGGGGGGGGCGTACTCTTATGTTTTGCATGTCTTAGCGGTTAGACCATTGACCACGCGTCCTCGAGAGGACGGAGCATTGTTCCCACAGGACCGCATCACCGATGGCCAATCGTTCCTTCCTGCTTTGCCAAAGGTGGCTCAAAAATGTCTTCCCTAGTCTGTCTATCCTAACGATATCCCTTCCCGCCTTTTCAAACCACTTCCTACTCGCCAGTACAGCTACCGTCCTCTCCTCTCTATTCCATGCCTCAAACATCTCCCCGTACGTCCCTTGTATTCTTCCCAGCTCAGTCATGTACACTTCCCTCTCCTCTTCGTACCACAGACATTCCGCTACTACATGAACACGGCCTTCGCATTCGAAGCCGCAATCGCATTTGACCTTGTCGTCTTTGTCGCCTACCGTCCTATGTCTTCGTCGACATTCTCGAAGACTTGTGTCCCCGGTCCTGAATTTGACCTTAAGCTTTGTCCCTGCATCCATTGGTCCATGTAGGTAATCCTTGAACCCTATTCCTTCTTTCAACATTCCGTACACTTCTAGACCCTCCTTATCCTTGGTTTCTTTCCTTAGATTCCGTTCTTCTCTCTCGGCACAAGCAACAGATATCTTCTCCTTGAACCCCTGTAGACCCTCCGTTTCCAGCGTTTCATCTTCGTCGATGTCTAACCCCTTCCATACGTCTTCTACAACCTTGACCCATTCCGTGGGTTGTCTACCCCTCTTTTTGTTTGCCCACTTCGCCTCCCATACTATTCTCGGCAACATCTCCTCTCCCATCCCGCAAATGCGATACTGCCATGTCAGCTTCCTTGCGTCTCTTCCCGACCGGGGGGGGGGGGGGGGATGTACTCCACATCATTTTTACAGCTCACAACAAGAGCCACAAGCCCCCCCAGCCGTATCTAAACACTGCACAGCAACAGTTACTCCTTCTGCCCGACGAGCTTCCCAAGCATTCTCTCATTAGCGTACATTGCCGACTTGGCCTTGTTGCCCCCGTCCTGCCCGCTCCCCGCGTCCGCATCACCGCCTCCTTTCCGCGGAGCAGACTTGGAGGTTTCATTCTCAGCCTGCGCGCGCAGCCAGACACACGATGCCATGTTGTGTTTCTTCTGTGTTTAGCGGCCGAACAAGGAACGTCTCGGGAAACACGGCGGTTCTACGCACTGGCGTCGTCACCGCTCTCCGCCGGCTCGGCCGGCTACGCACCTAGCGTGGACTAGCAGCGGCTAAACCACGCCAATCCTGTTGGTTTTCTTCCTACGATATCTAGCCAGTCATTTCGCTGCCGTTTAACTCCTCCTGCACTACGAACCAGCAGCTGGATGCCACCTACTATCGCTTTTCCTTGCGCGAGTCCCTGCCGGCTGACAAACACCCCGGCATGTGCACCGCATCAACACACGCCATGGCTATTCGTAATTGAAATGCCTCGCCTCCTCGTCCTCGCTGTCTGACGACAGCCCGGTCCCACCCAGCGCAACCCCCCCGCCCGTCGCGGAAGACGCCGCCCCCGCTGCTGGAACTCCTTTCTCGCTTGACGCGCTGTCGTCGTCCTGCCGACGGAATGTTCGGGACAAGAAAGGGTATGACGGAAAGTGATGGGTATGGGAGGGTATCACGGAGTGTTCGAGGGTACAGGACAAGAGAGTGTGTGACGCTGTTTTCAGGACAAGAGAGGATATGACGCTGTTTTCAGGACGAGAGAGGGTATGACGGAGTGTTCAGGACAAGAGAGGGTATGGCGGAGTGTTCGGGACAAGAGAGGGCATGATGTGGAGACAGGAGGGCACCACTGCCAGGGTCTCAGTGAGAACATAGCAGTCAGTCTGACCCTGCATGTCTGCTGCCTGGTGCCACGAAGCCTGTGTGCTGCAGCGGAAGGCTGCTGCTGTTGCTGCTGCTGTTGCTGCTGCTAGCTGTTATGTTGCTACCGAAGCGGCTACCGGCATGCAAGGATTACTGCACGGGCAGAGGTGGAGGTCGCTTGAGATACCACGCACATTCCCGTGAGCACCTTTGCTAGGCTAGGCCCAATGTGTAGCCGAGGGTACTGTAGAAACTCTCGCAGACACCCTTCCCCTCTCCTTCCAACTTCCAACCCCCCGACTTAAGGAATAATAAATACACACACAGAAAGACTATCCATTCGAGATATACCCACAGTCAACCCCCCGACTTGTTCCCGGTGGTTACGCCGCTCCTGGAGGGGGGGGGGTATCTTGCGTACCGTATGGATGCGCCAACAGCAGCGTTTTCTTCGCGTCAGCTATAAGAATAAAACATGAACACTACTGTTGCCTGGTTGTTCACACTCCTAAATATGAGCTCCTGCTATGCAAGAACGAGTCGCCCTCTAGTGGTTTGAGTGATGGCACAGATTCTACGCGTAGCGCAGCGGTCCCAGTTTTGGCCCGAAAAGTGCCAAGGATTGTACATAAGATCCCGCCAAGACCGACGAGCTCAAAGCACACCGAGACAAGCGGGTGCTCTGAAGTCATCGCACGTAAACCATACCGCGGTTCAACACAAGCCACATACTCCATCCAATCCTCCCCCATGCTGGCTGTCCTACTGCCGTCCTACTATCTGTCGACCTGTGGCCGCAACGTGGAGATTCGCCCGTCCCTGTTGGTCGAGCTCTCTCACAAGCACGCCAGCATCGCAATCACTCCCATCTAGCACGACCGCCCGCACCTCTTCCATGATCTTCCTCCTCCCCCGCGACTCCGACGTCGGCGAGTCCTCCATGTTGTTGAGCCCAGGAAGCACAGGCACAGCACCTGAGTAGGTAGACAGAGTGCGGACAGCCCCCCCCAACAAGCCCCCAACCAAGGCCGGCCCCAGACCCCAGGCCCCGCTTTTTTTTTTAGGGAGCCCCGCAGAATCGACAACAACATAAAGGTAGTTACAAAGGAGCATGGAGCGAGTCGGTGCCGACCAGCGACGAGCCCACCACACAGCAACGCCCAAGCAACAACAAGGCCAACTGCTGGAGACCCACCACACCAGCAGTGCATGGGAAAAAACTCGTATCAGCAGTGCGAGCAGCAGGCTACCCCCTGTTCGATCTATGTAACCGACCTGGGACTGAAGAAAGACGCACCTAGAAATACTTCACTTCATCAACCAACCGGTACACTCGGCAGTTGATCAGTTGATGTCGGGGAGCATGGGGTCCCTCTCGGGCGGAGAAGATCGCGGGCAATCGCTTGAGGAGGATGGCGATGAAGACCACGACAGCTTCGGCGAAGAGGACGAGAACAGCAGGTTCGCGGTCGGCCCACGCCTTTCGACTGAAGCTCGCCAGGTGAGACCAAAGATAAACAACTCTTGTCTGTCAGTTGGTTCCACCATGCGACCAAAAATCATCATGCTGCCGTCAATCTCAGCATTCCCGAAGCCTCGTGCCTTGATTCTTGATCCCCCCCCGCTCTCTGCTTTCGTGTGTATAGCATAGAGTACAGGCCACGTGACGGCAGTGTGATGGGACCAGTTGATTTCAAGGAGATGCCCTGCAATATCAGGCCCATCTCTCGTCCGCGGGAGCACATACGCCGGCGGCCTTCGTCATGTGTAGACTACGTACATGTATGCTACAGCAGTACAGAAGCAAATCGCCGAACGGCCCGTACACATGTGCTGTACAACTGGATAGCACATTGATATGCAGCCGTGAATTGCAAGCTGTAGCGGACAGCACATCGAACCACTCTCCTGGAGCCATCTACACGTTGGTTTATTGGTACACAGTCGTGAAGTGCGGCGGGCAGCACGTCGAACCACGCTCCTGAATGTTCACCCGCACAGCAAACAAGCGGACTCTCTTGTGCTCAAGTATAGTTTGTTTCCGGCCAGGCGGGTACGGGCACAAGAGAGACACATGCCAACGCTCACAAGAAGAATAATCTATGTAGAAAAAAGCACAAGTAGACTACATAGACTAATGATGCAGATGGCGCACCCATGGCATCCCAGTCCACGGACAACGAGGAGATGTTTTTTGCAAGTCTGTGTGGTGCGAGTAGACAGGAGTAGTCGTTTGTACCTGCCGTCTGTCTTTGTCGAAAGCTTTCCGACAACGTCTCGTTTGATCCATGCATCCTGGAGTTTCACAATCGTTCCAGGGGGTGTGGTATCTTGTGTCACCCATACATGCTTCTTATGGTACATCATTTCGCCCACCAAAACCATGGTTCCGCTACCAGGAGGGGTATACCGCGGAAGGCTTGTTTTCCGGCGATCGGGTCCACCCATACGACAGCAGCAACGGCGGCCTAGCTGACGACGACATCGACGTTGGGGGAGGACGACGAGAAGAACGTTCGTGGGAAGGAGCGCAAGCAGCAGGAGGGTTCGAGAACGAAGGATCGTGCCATAGTGATCCGCAACGGCCGGCCGAGCTGGAAAGCGGTGGCGACGTCAGCCTGCTTGGCGGAGGGAGCGTCGGCGTTACAGCAGCAGCAGCGGCGGCAGAGGAAGAGGAGGAGGAGGAGGAGGAGGAGGAGGACAAAGAGGAGATGGTGGACGAGGCGGGGGTGGTGCCGTCGTCTACCAACGGGATGGGGTGGCGCAGCGACACCGCTGCTACTGGGGCGCGCGCGGATGGGAGCGTGTCTTCTCACCCGGGGGGGGAGGGGAGCTGGCCTCGCCGAGGACCGTTCGACGGTTTGGGTGAAGACGGGTCGCCCCTGTCAGTGCCGTCGGAGATAATGCGATACGTGAGCAAGGGTTCAGGTCTATGACGGAGTGTTGCAGTCAAGCCCTCTAGCTTTTGGTTAGTTCGCGGTAGGGCTGTTCCTTTGTTCGTCGTGCAGGCGTTACGCGGCGGTGGCCATGATGGCAGATACGGCGGGATCATGTTGTCGCGACGTGTAAGACAAACAATACATAAGGTGATTTCTTTTTTTCAAATACAGTAGCGACCACGGTTTAATAGAGGGTTGGGACAAGCCAACAAGTCTCTCTGAAAATCGGTTTTCTCTTCAACCGTACCGCGTAAAATAGATATTTCTCATGGTCGGGACACGCCAAAAACACTATCTCAAACAGTAGCCGCTACTGCAGCGAATAAAATATTTTGAGAACGTGGGGGGGGTCCTTATGGAGTACGGCAGCGTGATGCTTTTTTCTTATGTGAGTGACAGCAATGGACGGAATGGTGTGGCCGCTCTCTCTCTCCCCTCACGGTACCGTCAGGACCCTGATGTTTCCGGACGCGATCGGGAGGCGCAAGCGGTCATCGACGCCCTCCAGGAGGTGTACCACAATCGCCTCAAGCCCATCGAGGAGCTCAGCAGATTCAACAAGGTGTGGGGGGGGGGGTTGTCCTCATAGCCGTGCATGCCGTAGGCGTTAGACCATTGACCTCGCATCCCTACAAAGCCCCGGACGGTGGGTAGGGGGGGCACGAGACAATCGCAGGTGGTAGTGTTGCGGTCGTTGCCGTTGCTGTTACTGGTGGTTGTGGTGGTAATACCTGTGGCAGCGAGGTCGAAACAGGAGGAACTTGACAACGCTACACCCCGCTGAGCATGATAGCGCGGCAATCCCTCTTGAGTCTCACCTCACTTTCGATACATACAAGCGCGGTTCATTTCCGTGTTGTGCTTCACGCTCTGCTTTCTGGCTATTTTTCTACATAACTTAATGTTGGTTTGGGATCAAATCTTCGACCCACTCTCTTCCTCTCTACATCTCCGTCTCTGTCTCTGTTTGTCTGTCTGTCTGTCTCTGCCTCTGTCTCTCTGTGTGATTTGTCTCTGTCTCCATCTGTCTCGTCTCTGTCTCTCTCCGTGTCTTCGTGTCTTCGTATGCCTATCTCTTCCTGTCTGTCTGTCTGTCTCCCTCCCTCTCTCTCTCCCTCTCTCTCTCTCCCTCTCTCCCTCTCCCCCCCTCTCTCTGCCCCTCTACCGTAACCTCGGCAGTTTCACCACGAAGTCATGACCGACGCCGACTTGCAGGCCAAGCCGCAGGTGCTGGTCCTAGGCCAGTACAGCACGGGGAAGACTTCGGTGAGACTGACTCCACCTCAACCTCACCTCAAAATCTTTCACACCACACCAATCCCTAGACCTAAGAGCTAACTCCCAGCGGTACTTGTTTCAGCCAGAACGACGACGCTGCGGGGAACGTGTCTGGCCGAACTTGACACTGCTGCCAACGTGTACCGTTTTGCTTCGTCTTTGGCTCTTTCTGTTGGCTACTCGGCTGGATGATTTTCCGCTAAAGCAGTGGTAGATTCTCTGCACCCCCCCCGTCGGGGCGTCCGGCTTTGGGTGTGTGCTGTCTCGATGAGACTGATGTCTTGTCGTATATCGGCGTGGTACATGGCATACGGTTGATGCTTCTAGATGAGTAAACCACGCTAGCGGGTATTCGTGGGATGCCACACCGCTGTTGTCTTGAAACCGAAGCGACTTCTGATCGAGCAGCAACAAACACATTTTCATTTTTCCGGTTTTCGCAGATGATACGGCACTTCATTGGTCGAGACTTTCCGGGGATGAACATCGGGCCGGAGGCTGACCCAGGGGTTTTCCAGGTGCGCGGCGTTAATGTTTTGCCGTAATTTCGATCGAGGTGCATACCACGACGAGTGCGATGTTTGACATTACCAGTGGCAGCACCTGGTGTAGCATTTAATTTCTCGAGCTGTGCGTGTCGTCGACTGCTGTGCTGGCTACCAAGAGGGATCCATTTGTATCGTTCGGGTGTGTGTCTTTCAGGACAAAGTTGGTGACCCAAGAAAGTACCTGAGCTCGTAAACCGATTTGTCTTTGCCCCGGCAACAGCCGGCGAAAAGAAAAACGGCACAACCCGAGGAGAATCGTGCTGTCAATAATTCCCCCCTCCGCGTATCCCTCAAAGTTCGACGTTCCACGGTTTTCTCATTTTTCTTTCCGGACACCCTCCCCTTTTTGTACCTGTCGATCCCGACGCAAAATGGAGACTTGTTACTCTTGTCATTTTCCGAAGGCGTGTCGGATCGTTGTTCGTAGTCGCAACCTTTACCTTAACCTTGCTCCTGTTGTTTTTTCGTCACACTCAACCCTGGTCTCCGGTTTTGCACACGACGCTATAGGATTCCTGTTAACAATAAATGGTTTCATTGTTCCCCCCGATGCATGCTCTTTTTTAGGTGGTTACGTGCGGGTCGGCAGAGAGGACGGTGAAGGGATCGGCGCTGTGCATGTTGGACGAGCTCCCCTACACGGGGCTCGGAAAGTTCGGCGCATCGTTCCTCGGAAAGTTCCAGGTGTGCACTGCTGTTGGTCCTTTTCTTCGACCTGTTCGGGGTGTTTGTTTCGTGGATCATACAGGGGTATTTGGCCGGGACCTGTTCGAGGTATTTTTATAGGGTGCTCTCGGCGTCGAAATAGGTATCAACTCCTCCTTTCTTCGGTTTGGACTTTTGTCGCTGTTCCCCTTTTTTTATGCTCTTGCTAAGTGTCGTTTCGTCTTTCGTTTTTATCTGCACTTGGCGCCCTGCCGCTGCTGCTGCCTACTGCTGCTGCTGCCTGCTACTGCTGCTGCTGCTGGTCAATGGTATCTGCAGGCGTCCATCGTCCCGTCCCCCATCCTGGAGCACATAAACTTCGTCGACACTCCCGGCATTCTCGCCGCTGAGAAGCACGGCACGCCGAGGGGTTACCCTTATCCGGAGGTACGCGTACTGAATACGCGTGTTCGACGTGCACAACAAGCAGATGACAAAGGAGCACCCACTCCCCTTGTTGTTAGCAATTGTGGGGCCGAGGGGGGGGCGCAGAAACGTACAGCACACCAGACCAGGGGACTATCCTTCCGACAACTTTCGTCCGCAGCACGTCAGACCATGTTCGCCCAACACTGGCTGTACTCTTTATCGCGAATTTTTGTTTCCAGAACATCGCATTTCGAGTTCTCGGGCCGGATAGCCCCCCCCCCCCTCCTTAGAGGACGGGGATAAGATGTGCAAGAAAATTTTATGGAGTTTGTGGCAGAAACGTAAAGAGCTCCCAAATGTTGGTGGTGTCTCTAGTAGGTGT